ACACACACACACACACACACACACACACACAACAAAACAAAGATGACACAATAAAGAGGAAAAAGGAAAAAAAGATGGAGGCGAGAACGCCGCGAGGCCCCATGCCGAGCCGAGTCACGGTCGGATTTCTTTCGCTTTGAAATCCTTCGACGACGAAGCCCTGCGTTTTCTTCTTCTTCTTCATCTTCTTCCTCCTTCTCCTCCACGCCTTTGTGAGTCTGGCGCCGTGATTTTTCACGGTCTGCGTCGAGGGCTAATCGAAATAGTGAGCGCCACCTCAGCCCGACTATATTTAGCCCTTTTACCGTCTCTCTCTCTCTCTCTCTCTCTCTCTCTCTCTCTCTCTCTCTCTCTTTCTATCTCTCTAGCCTCTCTCGCTCCACATTGTGGGTTGTTTTATTTCGTCGGAGCGAGAATACCTGTCTCGTGACACCAACGATGATAATATTGCGTTTCGGTGGTACAGTGTAAAACAACCTAGATTATTAGGTTTTAATATGTATGCCAGTTGATACAAGCGCAAATAGAATTTTTAATAGCATATTGTTTATGAAATATCATCATTTATTCATGATACGTGCCCAAAATAATGTTTGTTAATAAAATTTCCTCGTCCTAGATATTGCATATATATTTGCTTATCGAAATGATAATAAGAAAAGCACAATCATGCGTTTTTCACTGTATTTATCAAATTATAGAATTACGCGTATTCCGATATTGTTTTTGTTTATGTAAAAAAAAACTTTAAATTCTGAAAGAAAAGTAATTACCTATAATAAAATATTTTTAATTAGATACTACATATATAAGTAAATAACTATTACAGTAATTAATTAATTACCAACATTAAACTCGGCGAGCAATTAACAGGATTGGATATAAATTTACATCGAATTATTAAGCTGTAAGGATTCTGTTTCACCATTTAGAACCTTTATTTCTAATTTGTCGCGTCTTAAAACATTACGGTCTTAAAAGATATCTTGTTTAATATTAATTAATTACTATATAAGTAGATAAGTAATTAATAATTGTATAGATACGTAAAATAATTAATATTAATATAAATCTTTAATTATACTCTATGTCACGTAACAATAACTTGTTGAAAAATTACTTGACAACAATTAGGTAAGCATAAATAAAAATATGTATTTAGATTTTCTCTTCTGCATCCATTTACATATTTCTCTTCTCTAGTCTATATAAAAGCTTTACATTCTTTCATTCCGATAGTTAATCGAAATATGCAAACGTCATCCCCGACTTCTAAGCTTTCATCTTCTAGCTCTACCTTCTCGAGACCTCTCGCCTTCTTTTTATGCCAATGCATGGACCTTCGGGATATTTGTTCCATGACGTCCGATGCGCCGTCGGAGGTCCGAACTCTAACACCTTCGTAACAAGAAATAGAATAATGCGAATCGATGTTGATCATGCTGCAGATTAGCCCGTAGCTGTGCTCCGCGGCATTAATCACTTGTGGTCACTGACAGGTCTCGCCGTTTCCCGTCAGATTGCGATTGATGGTTGAAATAATGAACGGCAAGTTTCAATAAGCTTTGCATTAACATCCTCCTCTGCTCTCGCGATATCGAGCGGTGTCCTTTTCACGCTCAAAAGTGCTTATACACTTTACGGGAACTAAGCATAATACTCGGTGGTATACGCTGATATAAACCAACTCTGTAGAAACTCAATTTCCTAGTACTTAAGGCAAACATACTTATATAATAATATCCAAATAAGATAGAGAGAGAGAGAGGGAGAGATTTCGTACCAAATGCGCGCTACCACCAATCCAGTTGTGCTTCGTTTTCACAAGTTCGTTATAATCTCATATATCGTATTAATATTTCCGTATATCGTCGTCGTCGTCGTCGTCGGCGGTGTTCCCGCAAAATTGCGAAGAGAGATACCGCCCCCGCAAGTCTTACCATTTCCCGCGCTCGCCATTCATCCCACGTTGAAGATCGCGAATTCGTTTCGTTGTAACGTAATACGTGACTTCCACGCTTAATTAGACGCAGTGATCTGTTGACATTTCGGATGACGTAAATGTTCTAAAATATACGGTGTACGTATATACGTATATACGTTGTATAATCAGTTTTAGCAGTTGAGCTGCGTCAGTGCTGCGATTACTGGTGAGAAGCTTTCCAAGTATCGTTTGTATGAAGCCTTGACATTAAAACACACCCCTTTATTACACCGAAAGTTAAATGGCGAACGTAAGATAATACCGGCGCGGAGCTGAAAAATATCGAGACAACACTCTCCCTCTCTCTCTCTCTCTCTCTCTCTCTCTCTCTCTCTCTCCCCTACGTCGCCAAGAATTAACAAGGCTCTCAGGATGACGTACGTGCCTTTCGTACTTTCCAAGCTAAACGGCCCATTCGTATTCGGCATCGCCGCTCCGCACCGGGAGAAACGTCGCACGAGTCTCACGACGAGAGAGAGAGAGAGAGAGAGAGTTTCGCCGGTCTCCGCGTGTTTTGGGTAACACGAAACCCGGTTTTGTGTTTCAGGCAGGTATGCTGCACGGCGATCACGGCGAGTTCTGGCTGGAACCAGTCGCCGTGTCCCTGGAAGAGAAACGTGGCGCATCGTCGGCCGACGAAGCGACGAGCGGCGACTTAGGCGCCGGTGCCCGCGCGTCGGTCTACGGGGGCCCGACAGCCGGCCGACCTCATCTCGTCTTCCGGCGCTCGGCCGAGCGGCGGCAACGGCAGCTCGAGATCGGCGCC